GCAGTTCCACTTCAATTGTCACCCACTAAGGTTAAGTCGGGCCTGTCCCCCTACAGGGGGATGTTCGACGAAAAACAAAAAAAACACACACAACTAATCAAACAATAGTTCAAAAATAGTATGGGGACTATTTTTTGAATATTGTTTGACCTTCTCGGGGTATTTTGGGGTATGTTCTATTTTTCGTCAAAAAAAACCTGTAGGGGGACACGCCCGGTATAACACTAAGGCTTTGAACAACACCGGTGAAAACATGTCAACAACGTGGGCCGAGCGGCGACGCAGAACCGACAAAAACAACGCTTCCACACTGGCCAGTGCGAAGAAAAATGCGAAGCGCTAAAATAAAAATGCGTTCAACCCAATGGCAACGCAACGCAGCACATTGTGTGAGCATGTGAGCAAAGAAGACGTCAAGCACGAAGCATTACACGTGCATGTTCGGCACAACTTAACCAAGTGCGACATAATGTTACGCAATGCAAACTGCCTATCGAACCAGAGGACTCCTGGGAACTCAGATCCCAGGGGCGGGGAACCAAAATAATGATCCTAGGGAACCCAGGCTGAGGGTCGCAAGTGTCATCGGCTCTCTTTCGAAAACAAAGGCAGGGAGGACAGAGGAACGGGTAGAAAGAGGGAGAAGGGAGAAGCGAGGATACAGGCGCAAGGAAGGATGAGGAACGACTCAGGCAGGGGCGGGTGGAGGGATGATGAACGGAGGAAGGGAAAGGAAGCAGGCGGGATCGCATAGCGTCCACCAGCACATTTCGGCACAATCTTCACACGGACCGTGCCCTCCCGTGAACGCCACCGACGGGGGATGGGACGCTTTTCGATCGTCAAGGCCCTCCTGGCGGGACCGCCTGGAGGGGTCGTCAAGCGTCTCTGACGCCACGGAGGCCGTTCGAGACGCCTCGTGAGCCGTCGGACATCCCTGGAGGCCGTCTCGAGGGAAGCTCGCGACCGTCCTGGGGCGCCGCAACGCCCGTCGGACCGCTCTCCAGGGTGCCTCTCGAGGGCCCCTAGACGCGGGCCCGAGACCCCGGGCCCCCCCTCTGACAGTGGTCGTGGCCCCCGGGCCCCTGGGATCGGTCCCCCGTTGCCTGCATATGTGCACGTATATGCTAGATCTGCAAGTGGGTGGATATGTATGCGACAGATATGTAAACACATACACATGGTATATATGGCGAGTGTAGATGTAAATCATCAGATGGTGTATATGTATATGGTATATGTAAATTTTCATGGTATTACCAGATGGTGTATATGTAAATTACCACATACACACGGCATGTATGTGTAAATAGGTGTATATGTAACTTACGAGATGGTGTATATATATATATATATGTATGGTAAATAGGTGTGCGTAAGCACATGCTTACATACATATATATATATATATATGTATATATATATATATATAAATATAGCGGGCTCTCATGGCGTCAGCCGCCCAAGTTCAGGACACCCCTCACATAAATCGTGCCACTCTGAGAAGTCAAAGGATGAGGAGCAGGAGGGTAGTTACCGGACGGCGCTTTCCTGCTTGCCCCCCCCAAAAACTCCTATTGCCCCCCATCCTCGTCCTCCTCCTTCTCATCCTCCTCCTCCTCCTCTTCCTTCTCCTCCACCTCTCCTTCCCTTCCGCCTCGAAGGAAGTTCCAGGGGAACCCAGGCTGTGGATCGCAAGGGCCATCGTGACACTTTTGCAAGCACGGGAAGGGAGAAGATAGGAACGAGTAGGGACGAGGAAGGAGGGAGAAGCGAGGATAAAAGACTCAGGCAGGGGCGGAAGGAGGGAGGATGAACGGAGGAAGGGAAAGGAAGCAGGCGGGGTCATAGCGTCCACCAGCCCATTCCGGCACACTCTTCACACGGCCTCTGAGAAACGCGGGGCTCACATAGCGTCACCCGGCCAATGCCCCTCACATGGACCGTTGCCACTCTGGGAGGTCGGGGGACAAAGCGCAGGAGGGTAGCAGACGGCGCCTTCCTGCTTCCACCCCCCACTCCTGTTTTTCCCCATCTTCGTCCTCGTCCCCCTCCTCCTCCTCCCCCTCCTCCTCCTCCTCCTCCTCCTCCTCCTCCTCCATGCCTTGTCCTTATGAAGAAAATTATCCCTGTCGCATCCCGAGGCCGGGCTCTAGGGCCTGTCGGGGCGTCTCGTCCGAGACTTCCTCACCAGTCATGACACTGAAGCTTAACACTTGACAACAGGCTTACAGATGGAGGGCGGTT